GACAAATGATTACTTTATACATATGCATTTGATATATACACGTGTACATCTCACATATCTGCACTCTCGCACGTCTATGTGCATATGGTTGTTACGTTCCTTGTGCAAAACGAGTATTCGATGGACTCCCGTTTCGTTGACTTTTTCGTCCTTCAACTGTAGTCAAATAAAAAAAAAAAAAAAAACAAAAAGTAAAGGTCGTTTCTTCATTTGATATTTTACTTGGATGTATTTTAAATGCATAAATACATTTATACTACCGTTTACAAATTTATTTATCGTGCATACGCATGTTAACAGTTTTTACATTCGTCATATTTTTGTTTGTTTTTTGAATTTTAAATTGATTAATTCAAAATGATATTGATTAACATTTTTAGAAATAATTTTTTAAAAAATGTTCGATAGAGGGAGGGGGGTCCATGTTTTAAGAATAATTTTCCTAGAAAATTAATTTATATAACCAAATATTAATTTACAAATATATCTAAATACAAAATATACAAAGAAATATTGACTAACTTATGGTTATTAGGTATATATATATATATATATATATATATATATATATAAAGTATATTTATATTTGTTGAACATAAAAATGCTTATTATTCTACGTACAAAGTACAAATAAAACGAAGTTTCTCCGTAATTCAAGATATTTTACATTGGAAATAAAATGACATTTTATTTGTAAGTTGGATGCATACGAATGACAACGATGACGATTACGAATTCATCCATATTGTTACAACTATGAATATACAGTAACAGTAAACAGTAACAGTAACAACAGCAGGAGCACCAGCAATCAGAGCTTAAAATTTTTCGTAGGGATTTTTTGAATCATCAAACTTGTATATATACGAGTCACTTGGATAATAAATTAAAAGAGGTTTATATTCGATGTGTGTGGGATTATATACAGATACATACATATACACGCACGTGTGTGTGTGTGTTTGTTACAACGATCAAGAAAGTCTCTCTCACAAGATCGAATCGGATTGGAATCTTTCGAATTGCAACGTCAATTGTTCTTGAAATTGATAGAAGATATAAATAAAATCGAGAAACACGTTCTAGGAAAGTTGAAAAAGAATGAAAGTATGCAAAGCTATTGACGTTAGATATTTTATTATCGATAGATCGAACGGCACGATCGTGAATCGTGATTATTTTCATGAAATAAGTTTTGTCTTTTTTTTTTTTTTTTTTTTTTTTTTTTTTCAATGTTATCGATATATGAAAGTTAAATTATTGTCCATTGCAAATGTGTCCTATATCGTAAATAAAATATACGCGAGAACTAGAAGAAGAATCACACATCTATCTAACAAAATATATTATTATTATTATTATTATTATTATTTAAATAATGTTAGAATAATTATTAAGTTGACTAACATTGTTTGAGTATTTTTTATCAGTAAATTGAAACAGTCCATCGATTATTTTTTCTTTCTTTCTTTCTTTCTTTCTTTCTTTCTTTCTTTCTGAGATTCAACAATCTCCTAACTCAGATTTTTCATAGAAATTTGCAAAAGATAAAAACAAATTGAATTTAATTGATTACACCTTATTGAATTTTGATCGACATAAAAATATGTTGTATTACTTGTGTTTTATCAGACTTGATAAACGCAAGGATAAAGAAATTGGAATAGGATATATATTTTTAATAAACAAAAGTATCACGTTTTTGCGCGATGACACTTTTATAAGAAAGTATTAACTTTCATAAACATTGCGATAAGATTATTAAGTTCGTTTGATAAATATATATTCTAAAAGTATCGGTGTTGCATCTTATTATTATTATTATTATTATTATTATTAAATAAAAATTGTTAATCATAAATGTAAAATATTCCAGACCTTTGATTGAATCCAAAAAAAAAAAAAAGAGAAAAAAAATTCATCATTCAACGAGACCAAAAATAATATCAATATAAACTTATGCAATTTGTTTATAAGAAAATAATAAGAAATAATTGTTGATCCTATCGATGATAGATAGATAAATCGTATTTTCAATTTTCTTTCAAATAATATACATACATGCATATAAATAATTGCATAAAAAAGACAAATGTCAATCTATTATCGAACAAAGACATCTAACTTAATCGAATTATCGCAAGTTGTTTTTGACAGAAATTCTCCATCGATATCTGAAAAGTGGAATTTACATGGCCTTTGATATTTTACAAAACACTTTTGATAAATATGGATAATAATAATTATAATAATAATAATAATAATAATAATAAACAAAATCGCAGCAAATATTCTCATTTGATATATTCGTGAATTTTTTTCTTTTTTTTTTTTTTTTTCAATGATTATTTTAATAAATTGTTGATATTGAAGAAAGTTCAGGTCAAGTGCATATAAAAAAAAAAATGTGT